GGGAAGACTGGGCAAGGCGTGGAAGGACCGAAGAAAGGGCTCGCCGCTCATGCGGCGGAAGGATCATGATGGAATGGTGATGGAACGAGGCAGAAGGTTTCGCGAAGACGGGCCGCGAAAAGGAGCGCAGACGTTGACGCATCGTTGGTCTCTCTGCCTGTTGTCTGGTCCACTTGGCAGCGCCACATTTCCAAACCGAACATCACGGCGACGGTCAAAGAGGGGGGAAACGGTATGAACATCGAGGTAGGGAGCGTCTGCGGGCGTGAGGCTGTTCTTCGATTGGCTGATCGGGGTGATCGGGGTCGCCGATGGTGAGAGGGTTGGTCTAGGGACTTTTTCGGTGGTCGGGCTAGTGGGCGGCTCTGTGGGAAGGACTACTACTGCTTGTTGTGAACATGCGTGCTGCTTGGGGCCTAAGGGGCTGTACTACCGTTGAGTTGCGTTGACTGGGTTTGAGCTGGGGAGGGATACAGCAATGCGCGCAGCCAGTTGCTACTGGCTGGTAAGGGCTTTAGCTATAAGCCCGAGCTCCGACATATCCTTTGTCAATGGCGTTTGGAGGACAGTGCAGACCGTTGCATCAAAATTCAGCGTTCGTGAACCCCAGGACACCACCATCATACAAGGAATGTCTACAAAAAGATACATTAGAAAGACGATGCCACTAAAGGAGGAGCGCGGAGACGTATCTGGAAGAATAAGATTATCGACGCCTCTACTTTTGTCGTGAAGTGTCGCCGTCGCGCTACTCAATTTTAGCCGGGTTACATCAGTCCCTAGTATTTGTTGGTTGCCCTTGATGCCCGCGTTGTAGGGCACATCGGACTCCTAGCTTCTTCGTTCGTTGCCAGTGGTAGTCTCGCTGCCCGAAGGATGGCGTTCAACCACTCGCCCAACCGAAGGGCCTGTTCCCTGTCGACATGGGCGCACTTTGCTGTTTGCGTGCTACTTTCGCGTATCTCGAAGCGACTCATGTCCTCATGCGTCGCCAACACAAATGCCTCATCCCTGGAACATGGCCCTGTGTTTATCTTTGGCCTTGAAGGGGATGGTCGTTGTGCACTGCCCGCGGAGCAATTCCCCTCTCGCTACCCGACTCCTTGGCCCTGGTGCACTTTCTCCTGATACTGTGCCGCACCAACTGAGACACCATCATCCTGGGCGGCCGCTGGGACGGAAATATCTTGGGCAGGCGTAACCTGATGCCCGCTGACACCCTGCCGCTGAGTTGGGTTATGTTCAGCTGCTAAGGCACTGCTACTGCGCTTGATCAGTACCTCATACTACACAGTACATACAGGTCCACTCGCTTGTTTGTCCGTGCCCTCCGGCTGAAGCCGACGGCACCGTGGTCTTCGATCCGTGCGTTGATTGTCGATGGCGGAAGAGGGACGTCCGCATCGGATCAGGGTCGTGGGTTGCTGCACGCCATCCATGTGCAGGAGGGGCCTTGACGGCCATGGAATCGGTGCACAGAGTATTGTAACACGATTGGCGAGCAGAAGTCTGCTTCAGCATGTCGAAACTTGCTGAGACGTGTGGTATATTTTCATCCCCGTAGACGCTCCAGCCGCGTCTTCTTGCAATTATACGAGACTATAGTGCTGGTTGAGCCGATCTCGTGAGCTATTCATGCAACCCCACCAGGACGGCGGTTTTTCGTGAGCGGAAATGGCTGGAATCCCGTACTGTGGTAAAGTGAGTACATGGCTCAGCAAGCACGGATACACGGTGAAGGGCGCAAGATTACGATGTGCCGGTTTCTTTTCAACACCAGATTCCTCTATACAGTACAGCCGGTGTGCATCATTCTCGAGCCGAACGCAACTGCCGAGAACAACGTTTCATGCGCTCTTGTCGCTGCCTTGTCCTTCCTCCACCCTCGGTGTCATGATCACCGCTTTCTGGACTGACGGGCCTTTTGCCTCTCACCAGACCCATTCCCATCCACCGCCAAGACTTTGTCCAGCTTGCAACACGTTCACCCAGCCTCCCACCCAGCTCCACCCGGGTGCTGCTTGGAGCCCAAAGGGGAGCACCCGGCCGCCCATCCATTGCTCAGCGCGGTTTAGCGGATTTGCTCGGAAGGCCACTTCCGCGCGTTCCCCGTCACCGATTTTCCACCGCCAGGATTCGAGTTTTTCTCGCCGATGGGGCCGCGTGGGAATTATTGTGGGGCCGCACTCACTCTCGACCCGTGTTGTGTTGCCTTGGTCCGCGTCTTCTACGCCGCCCGCCCCGTGCTTTCTGAGTTGGCGTGCAAATCCTCCCTCCCTCTCTCTCTCTCTCTCTCCCTCCCTCTTCTGGCCGGCCATACGTCGCCGCTGCTAAGGGACAAGGAGGACAGCAACTAGGTCAGGCTCGATCCGGTGACGTGATGACAAGGCAGGCAATATCGGGCCTTTGTTGTGGCTACGCCGCCTCCTGCACGTCGTGACCTCATCCTCTCACATTGTCCATCTCCTGTCCATGGTGTTGGGACAAGGCCCCAAGCGTTGCGCAAGAGGCGGACACGAGCGGATGGGTTGGAAAATGCTCGTGAAAGTGAGATGGGCTGTCCGGCGCTCGCCGTCAGGTGAAATTCCGTGCCTCTTACGTTAGAGTTTCGGAGACGCGTCCGGCCGTTTGGCCTTTTACACTTTTGATTTCGCGTCGTCCATGTCTCGCAGGGGCTCAATCTCAATCTATCGCGTGTCGGAAAACGCCGAGTCATGGTGCGTATGCAAGACTGGGGGGGGGGGGCGTGGCTTTTCCGACACTTCTCCATGTCAGTCGTTGGCTGGAGAGAACAGTGTCCACCAAACACAAGGCACCACGGCAGCAACTTGCTCCTTGTCTGACCATGAAAACAAGCAATCATATAGTCACGAGCAGGAACGGTATGGCATCCGTACCTGGTGCTTTCGACCGCTTTGTTTAGCTCATGCAGGATGACACACACACTCCTCCGGATGACATTGGTTGCTTGAACGCAACATCACTGCGAAGAAGTCGTACAGATAGTGGTGTCTCGGACCTTTATCTTCCCAGGATGGAGCCTTGCAAGCAGCTGATATACAACGGTGTCGACTAACCGTCGCTGATGCAGCCATTGCCGCAGCCGTTGAACGCCTCGAACATGCCCCAAAGCCTCCTGAGCCACTGTACTGGTGCAACCAACATGAACAAGGGCATTCTTCTTGCTGCGCCACGGGCACTCTCTTCGCGCCATGGGGGGCATCGGAACCCACAACCCTTCGCCCTCCTCTTGTTATTAAGAAAAAAGAAAAAAAAGGGCCACCAAGTTCCCAAGACACAGGGAAAGAAAACCGAGATCATGGCTTAGGGAACGGGAAGGGGAGGCGAAAGCGAGCGTTTGGGGGTGGGTGTGTCCAGGGGCTGGCTCGAGCTCCTTTCTTCCTGGCTGCAAGGGGAGAATCGGAGAAGAAGGGGAACACGCTGGGCCATTTCACCGACCGTCCGGTCCGGGAACCATCCAACCAAGCGTGGATACTGATCCTTTCTGCTCCGTGGCACCGGAGAGCGGGCGTTACAGTTGAGCCCGGGCTCGTGGCGTTGGCGGCCGGCAGGCACGGACGGGCAGGGCGAGAGCGATGGAAAGAGCGTGGGATGGGGAAGGGAAGGGGGTATTGAAGGAATGTCGTGGGTTGGTCAGGGGAACATGAATGGGGTATAGCGTGGGATGGGTATCTCGGATCAGGTGAGAGGGGCAACGGCGTCATTTGCTCTTTTGGCTGACCTTTCTTTGCTTTTTCTTCCGCTGAGCCTGTCACCTTGGGTGAAGTGGGCTTGTGGAGCATGGCACAGCACGGGTGAGTATGGGGCCGGGGGAATTATGGCGTACTCGGTCCTACTACGCTGTTCTCTGGTCTTGGGCGTTGGATACTGCTTTTGGCTGCATGCATGTAGTTATCCCCGCGTTCGCTTATGCGTTCTCTGGGACCTTTTTTTTTTTTGGACTTCTGATTGGGTCCCGCTGCTGCGGAGGTTGCTGTCTTGGGGCTGATGAGCGTGGCTGCAGCAATTGGGCCTCCAAAGGAGGCATTCCAGGATAATCAAGACCTACGGCTTGCTGTTCTCGATATTGTTTCAAGGTCACACCAACCTTTGGATCTTGTTTCGGCTGCCCCTGCAGAGAGCGCAATTAACTTTCAGTATCCACTCAAAACAGGTCTGCCGGGTTGCAGCAGTCGCGCTTAGGTATCAAACAGTTGCCAGCTAATACCCGCGGCGAACTGCTGCCTCCGACGTACCTTCCTCATGTGGGGTACAATAGCCATGAACAATAGGCTCAGGGTCTATTGTTGCCGGGCCTCATTCAACGTCTTCAGACCCACTCACCCCATGCTACAGTGTCAAAGCGCAGGAAAATACTGCTATCACAGCATCCATCGGCTTCGGTTATCACAGACCGTCATGCGCCGATCTTCCAGCTCTATCTTCCAGCTATAACAGAAACATGAACATGACTAGCAACAGAAAGAACAGTGAAGTTTTGCGCACACTTCGCAACATGAACAAGACTCGACGCTTAGAGGTGTCCTCACCTTCAACTCACCTCTTTCCTTCAGCTCTTTTCCTCCGTTTACGGTACAATATCTTGTCCTGATCTCTTGCTTGCTCCACACTGCTGACCTTCTGCTGACCAGAAAACCATAGTCCTTATATCCGGAGACAAATTCCAGGCCACAAAATGACACCTCACTTGCTTCGCCAGTGTCCCATCGAGGATGGTTCCAGTCCAAGACGTCTACCTTCGAGACTGATCGCGACCGAGGGCCATACGAGGAACTTCTCAGACAATCGACGTATCCTGGCATTGTGGCATATTTACAGCTGCGAGTTCGAGCATACTTAGCTCACTTCCATGCGAGCTATGCCACAACGTTGGTCTCTATCAAGTATTTGAGTTGGACAACGCAAATCTTAAGGGACCATCGAACGAAAATCCTTCCTGACCAGACCGAGAGCCACTTGCACGAACGTCAGGTGCTTTAGAGTACGACCACGGTATCTTTTATTGTCAGAACTTTCCAAGATGCTGCCAAACCCATTTTTATATGCAGAAACCCTTGGTCCTCCCGCCGTGGCTTCAGAAGTAAATACCTTGTGAGCCGAGAACCCCCGCCATGCGCAGCACATCAACGGCAATCCCAACGCTTTTGTAACCATCGACTATATCACTCCCCGCGGAATAAAAGAGAAAGAGAAAAAAACCTTTTGGACCAGCCCGGCTCCAGCAGCTCCGCCCTTCAAAGTCCCAGCAACTGCGCCTCCACGTTCTTCATCAGCAGTCCCTCCTCCAGCAAGAAGCCTGCATCAGCCCTGCACTTCATGACGCCCCTCTCGGTACTCAACTTCTCCTCGAGCATCAGCTGGAGATCGCGCCCGCGCATCTCCCACAGCTCCTTGCAGTCATCGCACAGCAAAAGGCCGCACCCCTCCTTCCCGCGCGACCCAGTACCACCCCCCGCCGCCGCCGCCGTCACCGTCACCAACCCAAACTCATCCTCATCCTCCTCATCCTCATCTTCATCTTCCTCCTGCAAGCTGCAGCACCGCCAAACCGCCGGATTCCTACAAACCGCACACCACCGATCCCCCTCCTCCACCCTCCTCTCATCCAACCGCTGCACCATCTCCGCCACCCACGCATCCCTCGCCACGCCACCCCCACCAAAACCCCCAGCACCAGACCCCAAATCAGCCGCCACCAAGCTCTCCATCTCATGCCCCGCGCACCCCAAGACATCCAGCCTTTCCGCAACGCAAGCCCGACACATGCGCCGCATCGCGTCCACATCCGCCTCCGCGCCAACCTCGCCACGACCACCACCACCACCAGAGTAGCGGCCATACTCCCGGTACGTCGTCGTCGTCGTCGTAATCGCCGCCGACGCCGCCAACGACGCCGACGACGCATGCCCCCCCGCGATCTCCGTGAAGCCGCGGCCGTCGCGCCACGCCAGCACCGCCGCCTTCTTCCACGCCAGCCCCGCGATGCCGAGCCACGGCGTCGCGCAGAAGGGGCAGTGTGCGGCAGAGCGTCTGGCTGGCGCGGTACCGCGATTCTTGTTGGTGGTGGTGTTGGCGTTCGTGTTGTCGTCGTCCGTCTCGAACGCCATCGGGTGCGCGAGCGCGGTGACCATCTCGCGGTACCACCCCTTGCGGCCGTGGGCGTCGAGCATGAGGTCGGCGGTGGGGTGGCAGCCCGGGGGTGGGAGGAGGTGGTAGGAGGCGGGGATGTCGGCGGCGGCGGGGGGGTGGTAGGGGGCGGAGTCGGTGGTGGTGGTGCTGGCGCTGCTGTTGCTGTTGCGCGCGTGGTGGTGGTGCGGGGTCGGGGTGGGGTTGAGGTGCGTGAGGGTGTCGGTTTTGCGGTGGATGTGGTTTTTCTGGCGGTGCTGGACGTAGCCGATGTCGCGGGCGATGGATCCGGGTGTCGTTTGCTGCTGCTGCTGCTGCTGCGGCGCCCGGTGGCGGGCGGAGCCTGCGTCGGTGAGGGTGCGCGAGCCGCTGCGGAAGGTGGTGATGCCGGTGCTGGTTGTGTGGCGGCGGGAGAGTGGGGTGGTTGTGGTGGTGTAGTGCCTCATCTTCGACGGAGGGACGATGGTGGTGAGTCCGGCGACGGGGTTCGACCTGGCTGGGTGGGTGACGGAGCGGCGAGAAGAGCTGGAGCTGAATATTTGGGTCAGGCTGCCGATGGAGCCGCCCGTCGACGTGGTGCGGAGCGGGAGGCCGAAAGAGTTGGAAGCGGGCGCCGGTATGCCTGGGGAGACAACACTGCCGCCAGGTGTGCGCACCGGGCCATCAGAGGCTGCCGGCCTGTCGTTCTCTTCGAGGCGGGCGACAGCGGCGGCGGTATTTGGCGCGGCCTTCTGCTTTCCGGCGTTGGTGGCGACCAGCTTCTCGAAAGTGCACGGGATGCCGGCCTTTTCGCAGGCGCGGCACGGCGGGGTGTCCTGCTTGCTCTTCAGCGAGCACGACCGCTTGACCTGGCGGCAGGCGGTGCACGCAACAAAGGGCCGGTACGGGGTGTACGCCAGGCCCGGAGGTGGCGTGTAGGTGGCGCGCTTGGGCAGGCTCTCCAGGTCCGGGCCGGCGATGCATAGCAGGTTCTGCTCCTCGCACTGCCGACACGCGATGCCCACATCCGCCGAAGCGTCGTTGTAGGAGCAGTACTTGTCTGCTTCATGGCAGGCTTCGCATGCCGTCTTCTTGGTCGGCAGGATGATGAGCTCGCACGGGACGACATCTTCACCGGTATGCTTCTCCTGGCACGCGAGGCACGGCCATGTTGCGTCGGACCGGCGGAGAGAGCACAATTTCCCGTCTATCCTGCACTCGGCACACCCACGGGCAGCTGGATGGTAGCGCAGGTCGTCTTCTATGCCAAGCGGGTCGGCAATGGGCGGGAGAAGGTCGTGGTCAGAGCCGGGCGAATGGTAGCGGACATGTCGTTTGCGCGGACGGAGAAGCTTCCTGCGTCCATCTCCTTCCCCACCATCCTCGCCGTCAGATGCCACCAAGTTCTGCGCGATATACTCATCCGACACGAAGTTGTACTCGTCTTCTGGCCAGTTGTCCTCGCCCTGGTACTTGGCCGCCAACGCCCTCCCAGCCTCCGATTTCAGGCTGACGGTGAAGACGTACGACGCACCGATGAAGCGCGCATACGCCGAAGAATACGCCTTCTGCTTCTTCTGCCGCGGCTCGCCTACCTCATCGAGCTGGTGTTCGTCCTGAGGCCCCGCCTGGCCGCCCGACCTGCGCTTCCTGTTGCCGCTCAGTCCTTCGGCGCCTTCTACCCTCTTCGTTCTCCGTCCTTCGTCCGCAGGGTCGTAGTTTCCCGAGTTGTCCCAGTCCAAGTGCGTCGTGGTGACCGCTCTGTCCCGGTCCCGGAACTCGTACTTGGCGTACCCGCGCCCGAAGTCTTCCGGTGTCTCGCTGCGGCTGTGCGCACCTCCGTGGCCTTCATCTTTCTCATTGTCTTCGGCCGAGCCGTAGTAGTCGTACGGTGACGGGGACGAGGGAATCTGCGTGCCGAGGCGCGGGTCCAGTACCGGGTCATACGCGAGCGTGGGTGAAGCGTCTGCTGCGCCGAACGGAGCCGGGTCAGGGAGCTTCTCCTCCGTCTCGCCGCCGCCAAAAAGTGAGTTGCCCTTGAAGATGTCAATCTCAGCTTCTTCATCATCAGCGCTACCTTCTGTCGTGTCTTCGACGTCGCTGGTACCCCGGCTTTGGCCAAAGGTGAATGGAATGTGGTCGGAAAAGGCTGGTGTCTCAGGAGAATCAGTCATGTCAGATCCGGTCTCATTGAGGTTGCATTCAGTGGTGAGCTGCGTCTCAAATTCTCGAGGCATGGATGCCATCTGGCTGCTGGGGCATGATGAGAGAGAGCCTGCCATGGTAGAAGAGTTAATGTGAGCTTGGGGGAGATCTGCACCAAGGGTGGGTTATGAGAGTGAAGAGTTATGGAAGTGGAGACGAAAACATGATGGTGTATGATCGCGCACTGGAAGGGAAGTTGCGTTCCCTGATAGATGGACCCTGAAATCTGGCTTACCTACGAAAGAAGTACCGTGCTCAGCGAAATTTGTGGAGAGTAGGTGAATCCCGAAGAGAAGTCTGTGGGAGAAGAAAAAAACTTCCGGAATGATTTCCAGACAAGGAAAGTTTACAGGAAGGTCGACGCACCAACAGGCCCAGCGCACTCCCACGAATTTTCATAAATGGCTGATGTGACCATGACCCCATTTGCAAACAGGCGTTCATCCTGTAAGGAATTCTCCACCTCCCCACCATCTTAAAAAGATTTAAACCTTAACATCACCCCTGCCGTCGTTCGAACTTATCGTCGCTCAACTTCCCTTTTAAAATCCCTAATGCAGTCATCATCTGGAAGTGAGCATTCACCTGGACTACTCTTCCAGAACTCCTTCCAGATTGGGTTCCTCCACCTCGACCTGGCTCAGCTCTATATCCAGAAATATTAATTACACGAACTGATGTGGAATGGAACCGCATCAGATGACAATGTCAGGACGCGAATCCATTCGAACCAAAACTTCAGCTACGCACCGATTTTTTAGGAAGTTCTTGAGTAAAGATTTGAGAAGTGCCATATTCTCTGCGTTTCACTTTCATGCTCCTTTCAGACTGTGGGCGAGCTCTAGTCAGCATCATCCGTTATCGCCAGAATGCTGCAATGAATGGCCCGGAATCACAACTTCTGTTGAGCAGTTGCAGTCATCCGTTTGGCGCACCATTGGGATGAAGAAGCTGAGCGTGATGCCAAGGAGGTGACGGAACGCATCAGTGTAACGAAAACTGAGCATCATTCGTCAAAGATGCCGAAGTCTTCCATGGTTTCTTATTTTGCATAATCTGTGGCAGTTGGCAGACTGTTCGAAACAAAAGACGAGACAAAAAGTTCTCATCTCTGTCTTTGTCTGGATCTGGTAAGTGTGTATGTGTGTATATACTCCATGTCTATGAATAAGAGAAATGCCCGTGGGAGATGAAGGCAGACGCTCTTATGTAAAGCCTTCTCTACAACATCCCCGGTGACAACTACATTTGTGGAGCACTCCCGTACCGCGTGTATGGCACCATCGCACATGCTACAGCTCAAATCCCACCCTCCCGCGTGATGCCCTGTCGAGTATCTCGGCCCACAGAAGCACTTAAAGAGCCGGGCTCGAGCACAGCCATTGCTCGCAAACAGTACACAGTCTGCTATATGCAACATATGGAGAGAGAAAATCAGTTCCCTCACTTCCATAGCACTGCTTTTGGCTCTCTCCGCCCCAATCGCGTTGTCAATGCACTCGGAAAGCAAACGACCGCACCTTCATGAATAACCAGACAACGCTGTCCTCCAGCAATCACAATTGATGATGGACAAGCGCCTGATTTGCCCGCTGCGGAACAGCAGCAGTGCTCAGTTACTTTGGATTTTCAGCAACAGGAGCGTTCGGGTTAGTTGAGGTTGTAAAGAAGAAGAAGTCAGGAAGAAGTCCTGTCGGGTTAATTGGTATGATGAGGCATCTGAGTAGAGACAGTAGTCCCTCGACATGTCCACGCGCTTAAAAATAGAGCGGCGTCCCCATAGCCCCTGAGGCTAGTGTCACTTGCCAAAATCAAACTGCACTCTATGTGCCCGCAGCGTTCGTGCATTGCCATCACGAGTCAAGCGCGAAGCAGCCACCAAGCAAGAGAAAAAAAATAAAAAAAACAAAGTTGACGTACCGAAACCTCCAACTTCAACGCTATCCCGCATCGGACAAGCATCCATGCGCCGAGGGCGCTCAGAAAAGCAAACCACTGACACGACCATCAATCATCAAAAGCACCCCGACACATTCACCGGAGCATCACGGAATCCACAATAATCGTGCAGGACACAAAAATTGGTGCTGGGCAGGGTAACGCATACCCGCCGCCCAAATCGACAATATCATTACAACCATCCACACTACATAGTCCTCACCAGATGATTCCCTTAGTTTTTTGCTCCCCGCATTCCACGTTTCGTCCGACTAAAACTTCCTCCGCCCCTTGCCCACTTCATCATCGCCATCCGCCGGCGTACCACCACCACCACCGCCGCCACCACCACCACTGCCACCGGCGGCATTAGCATTACTCGTGGCCTCGTACACGCTCGTGCGCTCGGCAGTGCGCCAGTTGGCCACGCTCGCCTCGACGTCCTTTGCCATCTCGACCGCGTCGCTCACGACGCCGTCCTCGCCGCTGTTGAACATGACGGCGTTGGCGAACATGCGCATCAGCTCCTTTTCCAGCTGCGCCGAGTTGACGATGCCGCGCGGCGGCAGCAGCTCCTCCGATATCGGCAGCGTGATGTGGGTGCTGCTCGTGCTCGGCATCTGCGTCGGCGTGGCGGGCGCGCCGCCGCTGGGCGAGTTCGCCGAGGGCGTGTCGGCCGTGGATTGCGTCGTGGCGGCGACGGCGCGGGAGCCGTTTGTGATGGCGGTGCGGATCGACTTGAGGTCCTGCGGGCGGCGGATGATGTCGTAGTACCCTTCGGCGTCCTTGGGTTTGACTGGGTGCGAGAAGAGACTGGCGTGCTTGTGCGAGGTGATGTCGTTCATGACCGGTACGCTCATCCGCCCGAAATTTCGACTTGCAATGACGAAGGTAGGTGGGCCGGGCGTACCCATGTCGATGTCGATATCGGGGACATCCGGTTCTGCGGTCTCGGACTCTTCACGTGGGTCGCGCTTGCGTTTGAGATTCGCCGTTTGAGACTGCTCCAGAACTGACTGTAGCGTTCCAGCCCGCCGACGAGTACGTCGCCCTCCGGACGTAGGGGTTTCCGTGGTGGACTGCGCATCTGATTCCATAGTCTCCGCCGGCGTACTCGGCTCCGCCTTGACATCCGGACCAGGCTCATCTGCATGCGACGCAACTGACTGGCTCCTGGTCCTTCCACGAGTAGACCCAGTCACAGCAGACGATGCCACACTCGTGCCTCGTACCTTCCGTGCACCTTTCCGGGAGCCCTTTCCGGCTTTTGGTGTCTCAGCTGCATCAGGTGCTGGCATCTCCTTGGATTTGACAGCCCGCTTCGACTTTGAAGTGGAGCTTGGCGGAGCGCTAGAGTGCAGTTCCGGGGACCTTTCGGGGGAAATGGGACTGGGAAGGTTCGGATTCCATTCGTGAATGGGCTTGTTCTGAGGCTGAGGTTGCTTCCAAGAACCAAAACGAGTGTTCACGTGCAAAGCAGGTGGCCTGCGCATGGAAGCAGCAGCGCTCGGGTGTGGATAAAGCGGGTGCTGGCCTGGAGAAGGATGGTACTGAGGCACTTGCGAAGGTCTGACAGGAGTTGCAGCAGCGTTCCTAGGCGATGGCTGAGGGCGGACGGATGGCGGACGGGCTGCCTGTGCTTGCTGCTGACGCATCTGTCTTTCCTGTGCTTTGTGAGCTTGGACAGGATCTTGTGCCATGACTTGAAAAGGTTCCAAAATCACACCACCTCCTCTGGGCGGCAACGGATGCTGGACGGGTGGGTGGTACATAGGTTGAGGGTGCGGATACGGAGCCTGTCCGGGATACTGAGGATAGAAACCAGGCTGCTGTACGTGCGACGGGTGGTGAGCGCTTGGTGAATGCGGGGCTGGGCCTGGTGGAGGTCCAGGCGGAAACGGCCTTGCATGCTGATGTGGAGAACCTGAGGGTGGTCGATTGAAAGGCCCACCTCCTTCTTGCACCGACGGTACCTGTAATGGCGGGGGAGGATACTGTATATTCTGCATATTCGGAGGCGGAGGTAGGATGACAGGCTGCCCCTGCGGTGGACGAGAGCTTATGGGGACATTGTGGGCGGTGGGACTTTGAGACCGTCCAACATGTGGCGGACCATACGGCGAAGGATAGCCACCCTGGGGTGCTGGCTGTGAAGGGACCCGGGCATGCTGTTGCTGCTGCTGTTGGGGTTGCTGCTGCTGAGGTTGCTGAGGCTGTTGGGGTTGCTGAGGCTGCTGAGGTTGCTGTGGGTGTGACGGGGTCCGCTGATGGGGTGGAGGCTGTGATTGTGCCTGAGACTGAGTTGGAGATTGCGCAGCCGATTTCAGACGGGGAGAAGCACTTCCATTAGCAGGAGAATCGGACGGATGATTTATGATGCTCTCTATCTTGGCCGATGATCGACGCGGCGCCTGCGTTTGCTGGGCAGCAGGAGACTGCTCTTTGCTGCCAGGTGGGCTGGCCTGAGGAGCTGTAGCAGGAGCTGTAGCAGGAGCTGTAGCAGGAGCTGTAGCAGGAGCTGTAGCAGGAGCTGTAGTAGGAGCTGTGGCAGGGGCTGTAGCTGGAGCTGTAGCAGGAGCTGGAGCAGGAGCTTTCACCGGGCCTTGCGCGTCCTGCGGCGCAACTTCAGCGGTGGGTTGAGGAACAGCTGGTGATGGTGCAGCGGTAGGCGAGACGTGGGACGCCTCCCTCGCGCCATTGACCAAGTGTTCCCGTTGTAAACGCTCATCCCACTCGCCGTTTTGAATGGCGCGAAGCTCCCGTGAGACATGATCATAACGTTTCTCGTATTCGCGGATGTCCTCGATGGCATGGCGACGGTAGCGCGTGTACAGCTTCGCGATCAGCTTGGGCAGCAGATGCTGGTGCTGGGCAGCTTCCTGGACGGAGGGCAAGCTGGGGCTCGGTGCTTTGCGCTTTCTCGACGGGCTGTCGCCATTCTGGACGGGCGGTTCGTTTTCGGACCTCGGGTCGAGCTCATCGCGGATCTCTTCCTTCAGCAGGCGCAGGTAGAGGTCGCGCAGGGCATCGGGAGTCAGACGATCAGGGCTGAAGCTTGCGGCGTCCTTTACAGCATCGTTGTGCAGCAGCAGATCGGAGACCTTGGTGAAGACCTGTGCTTCTACGCCATGGGAAGCGAGAGATTGGAACAACAGGAGCGACTCGAGCGGTGTATAGTGGGCTGGGATGTTACTCATCCCCCCGCGGTGGAGAGCAGCGACGCGGTATGCGGAGGGGTGGATTGGAGCCAGCGCGGAGACGTGGAGCTGCAGCGCACCATCAGACAAGCTCGGACGTCGACGGCGCGCGCGTCAGGACGGGAGCTAAGGGGACGAGGCGTTCGCGGCGGGTGGACAAGGCGTTGTCGGCGATGAAGAGTTGGGGGAGGATGGCGGGGGGACGAGAGCGATGGGCGTGGGCGTGGGCGTGTTCAGTTGCGGTTCGCGATGCGTGTCATGGAAGCGACGCGGCAGCAGTGGAGTGGAATTTTGCGACCGGCGCCCGCCCGCTGGGTCGCCCAGGCCAGGCCAGGCCAGCGCAGCAATCGCCCACCCACAACGAGCTACAAAACATCTGATCCTTCTATGCCACGCCGAGGGCGCTATTTTTGTTCTTCTTGTGCGGGCCAGTCGAAACAACAGCCGGGACGCAAATAATGTGAGTCTGAAGAAGTGCAAAACAATGCTTATAAACAAACCAACTGGGCGGAATATCACTGTGAAATACAGGTGGGATGGCTCAAGCCTTTTGCCGGCTGCTGTCACACTGTGCACCGCCGAATGCCGACGCGTGCACACCGCGTCCATCACCCCAACCCGCGCACCTCTCACCGCCTGAACATGGTTTGCGTGCAGCATGAGTGCGCGCTGTCGGAATGCTCGCCGCCCGTCACGTGCCACAGCTGCCCCTTTTTTCAGCGCGGCGAATGGTACGCCGCCCGCCCCGCGGCGCCGGGGCGAAGTAGTGACGTCGGCGCGCCGCAGCAGCGGCCGCCCGTGCTGCGAGGGCTGGCTCGGGCGTGGTCGAAGCCTCGAGTAGGGCTGGGAGACAGGCTGTCCAGGGTACGCGTGCAGCGGGCTTGGCCTCAATGGCTGTGACGGCAGGGTTGGGTGTCTGCCCAATTGGCGTCGATCGCATGAAGGCTCCCGCGTTCGGCGGAAATGACTGACTTATCAAACACCTCCTTTTCCCCTCCACCGCCCTCTCTAAAGGCCTGCTGGCGCCCGCCATGACAACTCCCTCCACGCGTCGCCCGGTGCTCCTGCTGCTCAACATCCAAGTCTGACGTCGCCGCGAGAACCCAAGAAAGACCAGCTCGTCCCCCGGGCCCAAGCTTCCCACCACATCTCACCGAGACCGAGACCGCTTGGGCAATCGCCTTTACCCCTCCCGACGCCGCTCATCCTCGCAACATCGCAAGCAACCGAAGCTCGCCTCAATCCAAAATGGACAGCCAGAGCACCTCCGCAAGCCCAGATCGCGACTGGGTCCCCAGGCAGCGCCCGCAGTCGTACGCTCCGCCCCCGCCGCCGTGCCTCCCCCCGGCTCTGGGCCCGTCACGCTGACCGCCGCACAGTCAGATTGCCAAAAACTTCTCGGCCGCGCTCGACGACATCTTCAACCTGAGCGGCAAGTTCGACGACGTGGAGAAGGAGGTCGACCAGAAGTGAGCCCACCCTGCGCCCACCCTGCGCACAGCACACCGCCCCCCCAGACCTCAGCACGCTGACGCCGCGACAGGCAGCAGGAACTCACGTCGCAGAATGCCGAGCTCGAGGCCCTGGAGGCCCGGCTGCGGGCGGCTGAGGAGCGCCTAAGGGCGGCCAAGGGCGACCCGCCGTCGTCGGACGACGGCAAGAGCCCTGTGGACGAGCAGAAGAGCCCGACTGGCTTGACGCCGGCTGTGCAGGGCAGCCGCCCGACCAGCAAGGGCATCTCGGCGTGAGGAAGGCGAGGGAAACTACAAACAAATCATTCAAAGGAACGCGCATTCGGAGTTTGGTGTGATACCAGATATTTGTACAGGATTGGATGTATAAACAGCCACACATTTTTTTTCTTTTTTTGTTTCCCTTCTCACTTTTCTCACTTTTCCTTGGGAAGCCATTCAGGACATTATACCATAACATCACCGCCATTGTGATGGTGCATCACGGCCTGATCATGACGCCTGCCACGAGATCTCACCGAATTCATGTTACACGCTGCTAGAATCTATCATGCTTTCACGGTAAGCTCCCGTCGCCGAGCTTGACTGCCAGTACCAGGACACGCGCCCCCGTGGGAAGCGAGGGCTGGGGAGCGAAAGAGACGGAAGCCGCATGGACCGGGGTGTGTTTGAGCCGCGAGCTTTTGGAAGTCGGGGGAACCATCTGCTTGGACCCTGGCGGTTCGGCCGGCCTTCCCTCTTCCCCTTAGCGCCCCCCCACCATTGACTGAGAAACAGTCAGCCCCGGACAGGCGCATGATTGTTTGCGATTGAAACGCCTGTGTCCGCTTGAACGATCCTGTGGCTGCCGCTCTCTGATCTTGCGTCGACAGGCCCCGGCTGTGTCACGAGGCGCTGGGCCCAACCTCGATCCGTACTAAGCGCGGGGAACTTGGGGCAGCTCGGAGTTCTGGAAATTTTTGCTCATCTTTCCATCATCCGCCGTAGCCGAAAATTGCAACCTTGTTGCCTGATTCAGGAGAACGACGCCCAACCGCCACCGACCGATCATCCTGCGAGAAACGTTATCGCCGTCATTTCCTTCATATTGCCTCCACCCAGCAATTTCGCCCCGAGTCCGCAGCGAGCTGCTCTCATGTGACGTCCACGGATGGACTTGCGAACCGGACCGTTGCTCTCAATTGGCAGCCCAAAACGACCTTGCCTCTGCTCCAATGGATGGACTATCGACGCCGCCAGGACGCAGACAACCATTGAAAAGCTGTTCCACATAGCGCCGGTGTCAACGCCGATCGGTGGGGCCCAAAAAGGAGACGGATGAGCGCCCAATGGACGGATGCTATCAGATCTCAATTGACGCCTTGCCGAGCGGGAATGAAGAACCAAGCCAGAAGCCGACGGGAAGGATTGCTTCACGCACCCATTGCACAGCCGTTTTCCCCCCCGCCGCGGGTCCCCGACGAGACGAGATCTGCGACAAGGTTGCGCCAAGTTACCCGCTGGATCGAGCCGATCCGGAGGTGCAGGTGCGACGGACGAGGAGATCTCCCTCGCGAACGACCCACTGGCTGGCGCCTGGAAAGGAGGTTTCGCCCGCCCTACGATCACCGGGAGATACTCCGATCTGACGAATGGCGCCAGGCTGTGGCCTCTGCGGCTGATTGTCGCGGAAACTGTTTGGAACCGCCCTGGTGGGAAGCTTGAAGGACGCGAGCAGGATGCCTCGAGAATTGCTTGCTGGGGCGTGAGCTGAGATGGCAAGATCATTCAAGGACGGCCCATGGAGGCTGGACTCGCCGTTTTCCTTTACGAAAGATGAGCACCAAACACTGATGGAGGTAAGCCCATGATCATGTCAGGGACACCATGAACCAATGTTCGGCTCTGAGGATGTACATACATCCTCACTCTTATATTCACCATGCTTGAAACTTGAAATGCGATCAGGAGCTGCTCACGCTCTTGGCTTGGAAATACATTGAGGCCCAGAATTGCTGTCAACTCGCCTCGTTGTTGAGAGTGACACGACGTTGAGTGATGAACATATACCTTAAACGCCAGGTTCGATCTGTCACCACGCATACTAACTCTACTCTGTTTCAATAAAGGCAGCCGTCATATACTTGTTCCTGTCGTGATTGAGCTGAGGTGGTTCCTCATTCAAGCTCCTGATAGGCTGACCGGCAAGCTCGTCCTTTACTCAATGACCTGAGTCTTAGCTGGGTAGATCTTGCGCCTCTGAAATGTAGTGGTCATGTTGAGAAGCATTCGACAGTTGAAGCAGTCAGCGTATTCGTATTCGAGACTGTCCATGTCGGAGTCACTCCCTTCCCCGCAGTTGGTCATAACAAGCATTGCAGCACGATCGAATAAGAGGCTGGGCATGATGTTCCCCGGAACACTCCACCCCCGCGTTTTCGGGTCAAGTTGCATGGGAACCGGGGTAAACAACACCGAGCTGTCGACGACGCCTCAGCCACCAAATGGCAGCTACTGCCATTAAAGGAGCTCTCGTCCATCCCGGTACGTGTCGTCGGCTCCTGCCGTGCGGCGATGCAGCCTCTTTGGTGCGCATCTGTGGTCTCTACGACGCATCACCCTTCGCAGCCGTGTTGCCTTTTCGGAAAGCCGCATGGATCTGCACATGCGGCGCTTGCCTTTCCCCAGACCTGGAGCGAGCCTTCGGGCGGAATACAACCGCGAGCTCCGCATGTGGAGGGTTCGAAACATCGATGCTTAAGAAGGTTGCATAGCTTGAAGAGATTTCCCCGGCCCCACATTCGTAGCTTTGCTCGCTGCCTCTTCGCTACACGCCGACTTTCTTCGCCACTGCAGGCTCTCCGAGTGAAATGGCCATTTTCAAGAGGACCATCGTCGCCGACGACCATGCTGTCACCCGGGGTGGACATCTGACCCTGAAGCAGTCTCTGCTGCCAAATTCTCTCGGTGAGCTTCCCCGATTACATTCCTCCAGCTAGCATGAACAAAAGTTGCTGACATGGCTTTACTTCCCTGCAGTCACCATCCTCTTTTTCCTCTGGGGCTTCGCTTACGGCCTCCTCGACGTCCTGAACTCGCACTTCCAAGCCGACCTCAACATCACCGCCAGCAAGGCATCCGGCCTGTCCGCCGCCTACTTCGGCGCCTACTTCCTCTGCCCACTCACCATCTCGGGCTGGATCCTGCGACACTATGGATTCCGCATCACCTTCATGACCGGTTCGTCAACCCCAGCGCCCGCCCCGCTTCCCCACCCCCCCCGGTGTCCTCTGAATGCTGACACCCGAGCTCTCTGTCCTCACGACAACGATCCAGGCCTGGCCGTCCTCGCAGTCGGCTGCCTCCTCTTCTGGCCGTCGGGCGTCAAGGAGTCGTTCGGCGGCTTCTGCGGCTCCATGTTCGTCGTGGGCGCGGGCTTGTCGACGCTCGAGACGGGCGCCGACAACTTCCTGTCCATCTGCGGCCCGCCGCGCTACAGCGAGATCAGGCTGAACCTGGCCCAGGGCGTGCAGGGCGTGGGATCGTTCGTCGCGCCCCTGCTCGCCAGCAGGGTCTTCTTCGCCGACACGGTCGACACCAAGCAGGGGCTGCGGAACGTGCAGGTGAGTCGGAGGAGGAGTCGTCGGTTGTTCTGCTTTTTGGCGTCTGCTGGACCTGGAAGCTGATGGCTAACAGTGGGTCTACCTCGGCGTCGCCGGCTTCGTCGCCCTGCTCATCATCTTGTTCTGGATTGTGCCCATGCCCGAGGTGACGGACGCCGATATGGCGGTTCAGGAGCGCGAGATCGCCGAGGGCGGACACGCTGAGCATGCGGAGGGCGAGGGTGAAGGGCCGTTCAGAAAGCAGTACAACCTGTTTCTCGGAGTGTGGAGCCAGTTCTGCTACGTCGGCGCGCAGGTGGCGGTTGCGAACTACTTCATCAATTTCTGCCAGGAGGCAGGTTATTCGAGCGCAACGAGCTGTGAGTCGTCCTCTTCCGTCAGAGAGACCAAAAGCCTGTGGACTGACCATGGTATACAGCGAACCTGCTTGCCGTTGGCCAGGGCTGCTACGCCTTCATGCGCTTCGTCGGCTCTGGCGTCATGACCAGCAGAGCTTTCAAGCCGCGCTACATGCTGGCGGCCTATCTCGCACTATGCTTCATCTTCGGCCTTGCAGCTGTCCTGACGCACGGCAAGACCAGCGTGGCGATGCTGATATTGGTCCTATGCTTTGAGAGCGTGAGTCGAACTTCCTGCTGAACCAGCACACCCCTTTTCCGGAAGAGCGAGACATGTCCACTGCATGCTGACACGAACAACCACGGCAGATCTGCTTCGCCACCATATTCACCCTCGCCCTGCGCGGCCTCGGCCGCCACACCAAGCGCGGCGGCAGCATGCTTGTCGCCGCCATCTCCGGCGGCGCGGCCATTCCTCCCAGTACGTCCCTCCTTGGCCTCCTCCCCACCCTGACTGATGCGGACCAAACACCTCGTCGATCATGCGCGCTAATCAACCGTTCGTTCCTCGTTCCTCAGTGACGGGCGCCGTCGCCACCTCGACGGGCAACTTCCACACCGCCATGGCCATCCCGACGGCCTTTTACGTCGCCGCGTGGATCTTCCCCGTGTACGTCAACTTCTTCAACAAGGAGAGCTTGGACGCGCATCGCGAGTCCGACTTGAACGTGGACAGGAGCGCGGTGGATGCGGACAAGGTGGCGGAGGTGGAGAGGGGTCACAGCGTGTCTGAAGTCGGGAAAGCGTGAGAGATGGATTTCTGTTTTTTTTTTCTCCCGCTCAGACCACTCGCAAGGACCTTGTCCGTGCATGGACTCTGTCGTGGTAGCTGGATAGCTCGGGGAGCCTTCCTTCTTCAAATTCGTGATCGTGAAACCCGTCGTCGACGCTTGGATAAGCTTCCTCGATTGGCCCGGCCGGTTGCGAGGGTGGTTGCGAGGGAGGGTGGAAAACGCATGGTAATGCTTTTTCGATGATCTTACGCGGCATGGAACGCTGCTTCATAGGGTTTGAGTCTTCTTCGGACTGCGTGAATCGGGTACCTGAGCTGCAGTTGTACCCATACCAAGCACAGTCGTCCCAAACTGCGTATCCGACTCGGCGATATGTGTCTGCCGACTCTGGCGAGGGGATGAGCCCGATAGTGAATACTTGAAGTGGATCGTCCTCTCGATCGTGAGTTGCCGTTCGTCCGTGATTGCGTTGGGCAATAGCGAGGAAAGTGATTGGAGTGTCGGGAGGCACTACTTCATCTGGACGCCACATGCCGCGCATCAACTGCCAATTGGCCTTATCAGGATGAGTTGGGCACTGGTCGGAGAAAATGAAGTAGGCATTCGGGTGGAACCTTCTGCCCTTGTACTCGAAATCCTGATGCCCATCATCTGGCAGTGGAAAAGTCATGTCAGTCGGGCAGTCCGGATCGTTTCCAAGTGCGTACGGGTAAATCGAGTTGATGTACACCGTTCTCGTATGGCCGCGAATGCCCAAAACACCGGATTTTCTGACTGGAGGACCTGATACTTCCACATGGTCTATAAAGCAAATTCTTTTTACCCGAACATCGCCAGTTGCCGTAGAGTAAACAACTGGCCCAGTAACGGAGACCCACGACCAGGTTGGCGCAACATTTTCCTCAAGGTTTCGGAGAGACTTGGCGTTGTAGTCAAAGGCATGCGATGTAGTCGGCGCATACTCCCGAGCGTGAGGAATGCTCCATAGGAGACCCAACCAGAGCTCTGATTTCCAAAGACCAACGAGAAACGTGTTCTTGGTCTTCTGCTGAATGGCATCTGCGACGCCGCTGATGGCAATCAGCCGGTCCGTAACAACCGTCATTCCTCGATGGGTGTAGTCCATGACAGCGTTGCACCAGTCCAAGTGCTGCTTTCGACGGGCGATGTCGTCATCATTGAAGTACTCCCCGTCCTTCGTAATCCCCCGCTGGATAAATTCGTGGGAGCCACCGTGCCGAATGACGCGTCCAACAGGATAGCGTTCAGTGCCATTCCCACACAGGCATTTCCAAGACATCTCAGAGCCGTTGAACGTCAACATCCGCCGCGAGAGCATTTGCTCCTGGAACACCCAGGCACGTCCAAACAACGGCGGCCCCAGCTCAGCTCCAGATTTTTGGGCGAGCACGTTCCTTCCCGGTATTTTCTTGGTCAAGTCGTATAGTGTGAACAGAGCTGTCTTTTGCTCGGTGAGCTTCACCGAAAGGGGCAGGTTCAGAAGCCCGTCCCTTTGCACGAAACAGCCTACGAGCCCGTTCGGAGCGTGTGCGGCCGCGATGTTGAAGGCAGCGTGAGAGTAAACCCGGCACATCTGAGCTGCCTCTCTTTCCCAGTCCTGCGGATCGTCTTGAATGATGCAGAGCGAATCGATCCAGAGGTATCGAAAGCCAAGTTTTCTTGCCATATGAACGGCATCCTGGAAAGTCTTGGACATATCACTCATACGTATGCCGCTGCGCCTCTCGTTCAACGTTTCCTTTTTTGTTGTGATAACTTGAGTCGTGCCCCAGCAATGGCTTAAAGAGACATAGCGCCGGTCGGACACTTCAGCCTCATTTGTCACAATCAAGCGGACGCGTTCGTTTCCAAGATCCAGGACCCTTGTCGGCAAAAATTGTAGCGGCGAGCTGGAAAGGCTGCATCTTTGATGCTTGGAGAGACATTGATTGACCCAAAATCGCGCCAACTCGATGGCCGAGTCTGATCCGGTGCTTTGATTCTCCAGCGTCTGGGATTTGCTTAGTGCGGATGAGAGGCCATCTGTAAAGAAAGAAATATCATGAGTCAACGGCCCTGGAGCAACTCATATGAGTTATGTGCTGCGTGGCTCACCGTCTTCAAGAAGCTCTGAAAATACTGCAACGATGCACTTTTTCACAATCGTTTGATTCTGAGGAGTCCGCAGTTGGCACGATAAGATCGGATCCGTGCCGTCTTGAGGGTCGAGCTCGAACAAGACCGAGGTATCGGCCGGAACATCCGGACACCCATTCCTCGTAACGGCATGAAAGATTGCTCGACAAGGAGGGCATCCATGATTTGACGATTTTTCCAAGCTTTCGAGGTCATTATGGACGGTTGCAGAGTGTTCCGACCATTTGATGCCGTTAGTTTCGAATTGCACCTGCGATGTTACACTGTTCCAGAACGACTGGCAATTTCGGCAGAACATATTGGACGAACGGATTGAAAGCTTGGAGCGACGAGCTACTGCAACTTGAATTCTGTCCTTTTTTTTTTTTTTTTCATACCTACGCCGCAGACGATCTCAGGGGCACGCGGTCTTGGCGTGAATATTGCACTTGCCATTGGATGCAATTGTGGAGCCTCCGTAGCCGTGCGCATTTACACAGTGCTGTGGCGCACATTGATCGGCAGAGCGCTTGTCACAAATAAAGCATAGTATTACTGCTAAGACCAAGGATATTTTAGGAAGAGTTGGATGTGGTTTGCAATATGTGGCTTGGAAGATAAATTCATGCTACTTAGTACTTTTCCGAAAGCTAACCCCATGTATGTACGCTACTTCTCCAGCGCAACGTTTCGGGTTAGACAGCTTCATCTGGTGCGGTTGTTTCAAGTCATTTCTGCTTCTTGAAACACCCAGCTGTAGACAGAGACCTTGAAACCCAACACAAGTTATAGTCACCCCGCGCCCAGCACTAAAGAGCAAGCGGGACGAGTATTACCACCATCACGACTCCTCTCTACGTCACAATTCTGACCCAACAGCCTATAGAATCGCATCTACATACTACCCTCAGAAACCCACATTAAGCCACCACCATCATACATCCCCCTCCTTATCCTCTCCGTCGGCCCCTTCTCCTTCTTTCTTTTTCAATAGCCTTACCTGATCTGATCGATCTTCCTCTACGGCGGCGGTGCCACACCATCGTCCCCACCCCCGCGTTCGGAACGTCCCGTGGCCGAGAGCCGCTCGTCCCCCGTCGTCGTCGTCGTCGATGACGACAAAAGTCCGCGTCTACCATCGATGACGTCTCAACCGTCGACGCGATGGCGGACGGCCGTTAGAAAGGGCGCCGCCAATGCTCGAGCGTGCCGGGAGTGGAGATGGACGGATTCGTCAATGGTGAGGGTGGTGGCGTGGATGGCAGAGACGTGGCGATGGTGGTGGTAGTGGCGCAGGGGGGAAGAAGAAGAAGGATTCTGGGCGAAGAAGACGAGGGCGGGGGGGGGGGGCGTAGAGGCTGGGTGGGTGTGGCTTCTGTGGATCCGATTCATGCACGCTCCCGCTGCCGCTGGTGCCGACCCCCTTGTGGAGGGGGAGGGGGGAGAGTACGGGGGTGGCTGCGCCCTTTTGTTAGTGTATTTGTTTTCAAGGGCCTGGCTGCGGGAATTGTTTGTGGGGGCGGGTGGTAGCGTGGGTGTGGCGGCAAGGTTTGGGATGCGTAGGAAGAAGACGGAGGACGAAGGGATGGATAGTTTGATATGAAATATACACCAGGCGGCAGCTTAGCAGGAGAGGGAAAGGGGAGTGCACGATACGGGGACCGCGCCGGCGGCCGTAGTCGGTGGGGTGGTCGTTGGCGCATTCGGGTTTAAGGTATTTGTCGCTCTAGTCGACGTTGCGACAGTAGCCAGAGCATCAAGGTAGGGTGGCGAAGTGATCTTGATCTCAGCATGTGGTGTGCTTGAGGACGTGTCTGCCAAACTTGATACGGAGGATGTAGTTGGCCGAGCGTTGGGCAGGGACTCCCTGACAGATCAGCAGCCTCAGCCCGACGGGGTATTGATTGGAGCGGGGGGTTTAGAGAAGGTTCGGAGCTAAGGGAGTGTGGAGGGATGAGTTACAGAGCTATTTCCGTCGAGCTGGCTTGGCGCTTGCAGGAGGCGTTCATAGTTGGACGATGTATACCTAGGTGATGGTGGCTTAGTTGCTGCCTGTGGTTGCGGCAAAGCATGGGCAATGGTGACTACCGGTACCCTGGTGGTTTCGACGGTAATCCTACCCGGCGAATGATTGCGTGTTGGACAAAGGTGAGGCGGCCAAAACACTGCCCATTATTACGTCAAGCATGTCAGGAGCCAGACAGGGCAGACGGTCCTAGTGGTCTGCGAACCGGGAAGTGGGGTTGCAGCGAGCGGGGAAGCTTAATTGTTCAGGCAACCCATCGGTGATGCGTAGCGCGCACCAAGTGATGGTGGAGGGCGGGAGATGGGACAGCCAGTTTGCGCACAGATGGCGGGTAACAACGTGGAAAGAAGGCCGCACGGATAAGCGGGTGCCGCATGTGGACGAGGTGCATTCAGTTGCACGTGGGTATGCTTCCAGAATAGGGGTACCATACGTCGGGATTGCGCGGAACGGCTGGGGGTGCCGGGCACGCGGGTATAATGGCGGTCCAAAAACAAGCACAAGTACAGGTGGATGGACGATCGCCGCCCAGTACCATGCCCACGGGCCGAGACTCGTCCATGCGCGCTACGTACACAGTACTACTGTGCAGTGTCCCCGGGGTCAAACAAGAGCTCCCCGCTGCTCCCTGGTGGTGAGCACTTTCGGACCGAGCCCGTGTTCGCACCAGGACAAGAGTCAAGCAACACGCGCCGGGAACAAGGGGCCGCGCAATTGACGCAGACGCTCAAACAAGCTAAGATCCTTCACGTGGATGCCGGCAGAGTGCATGTTCGCGGGAGCGGCTGGCGGGTCGGGTTGGGCAGCAAGCCACATGGCAGGAGGGAGGCGGAGTCAGACAGATCCCACGTCCGCATCCGGTGGAGGGCTGCTGTTGCTGGAGGGGCAGAGGCATCCTGTGTGGTGCAGATCTGGTGGATTGGGTTTAGCTGACAAGTTACCGCGATGCTCCGGCCCCGCGCCACCACCACGGCTTCGGCCCTTCTCTGCTAGCGGGTAGCGGGTGTAGCTCCGCCGCAGGCTGCCAACACTAGTCGGCCGCTGCCTCGCTTGACGAACGCTGGCGTTCGGTAATAAGAGTCTAGCGTGTCGCGCGCCCTCCTGGCGTCCCGTCGAAACCATCCTTGGTTGCGCTGCCAAAACACCTCTCCATGGGGACACGGCAGGCTTCAGTTAAGACCCGATGGCCCGCCACTGCCCTGCTGGCGATCACTCCCCACCCAACCCACTCTCTTTGAACCCATCGCCGCCATGGCTTTCGACATTGCCGGCGGACGTGGCAACTCCATGTACATCCTGGGCGGCTTCGGCCTCGTCCTGGTGTGGTCCACCCTGTCGCTGCGCATCTACGTGCGCGCCCACATGCTGCGCCAGTGGGGATGGGACGACTGGATGATGGCCTTCGCCGTCGTCTCCTTCAGCATCATGGCCGCAGGCATGTTCCTGCTGGCCAAGAACTCGTTCGGCAGCCCGGCCTACACGCTCCCAGTAGACACCTTGGTCCAACTCTACCAAGTAGGCCGCGCCCCCTCCCGCTGACCGAGCCGGTGCTGACCGCAAGCAGATGGTCATCTTCGCAGAGGAAGGCTACGTCGCCACGGCCATGTTCTTCCGCCTGTCCGTGTGCTGTTTCTACCTCCGCCTCACCCCAGTCATGTGGCACATCTGGACCATCCGAGTCATGATGGGCGTCACCACCACCTACTCGATTGCCTACTTCTTCGTGCTCCTCAACCAATGCACCCCCATCTCCTACTACTGGACCCACTTCCTGGGCAACACCCACGGCACCTGTCTCAGCGATAGCGTCATCATCGGCACAACCTTTGTGCATACCATCGTCTCCATTGCCGCCGACTGGACTCTTAATAGCATCCCCCTCTTCATAATCATTCCCAGCACCACCATGAACCGGCGCACCAAATACAGCGCCATGGCCCTCCTCGGACTGGGCGCATTGTACGTTCACCGCTAATTGTCCGATCCCTAAGAAGCGCAGAAACTAACCCGCACCCACCTGCAGTGCCAGCAGCGGCATAGTCGTCCGCCTCATCGCTCTCTTCACCATCAGGCCGTCCAACAGCGCCGTGCCGCTCTCCCCGCCCGTTGCATTCTGGTCCGCCCTCGAAGCCACCATCGGCATGACGGCCGCCAATCTGGCCACCTACCGGCCCTTCCTCCGCTCGCTCGCCAAGTCGATCCGGAGCGGGCCCGACAGCAACGTCTCGCCACGGCAAAACTCCATCATAAACCTCAGCAAGATCCGGTGGCCGCGGAGCCGGGCCGGCCGCGGACGAGCAGCATCCGGCTACATCCGCAGCGGGGACGACCATGAGCTGGCCGGCATCGATGAGCAGTGGGAGCGGGAGTTGGAGCTGCAGGGTCGAATCACGGGCGGCACCTCGGTGGATGACAAGGCCCCTCCGCATATAGTGAGGGTGGGGAGCGAGGATGCGTTGCGGCAGGATTCCTCGCAGGCCGTGTAGCAGATGTTTTTACGGTGTGTACTACGACTTTTATTGCTGTCTTTTAAGCGATTTATGCCCGGCAAAATTCACGACTTTCTTTAGCTGTAACAATATCATCACTACACAAAAAAGCACCTCCCCATTTCATTGTCGTTGCCGAATTCCGTGGAGCTTACCCAGCGATGACGTCTCCCCCGGGCGACCATATCAGTCGGCCACAGCGCCTACATGCCCAGCGATGACGCCAACACTGCCCCCGAAAATGGACGCAAGAACGGCGATTCTATGGCACCACCGCCATCCATACCCAACACCATGAAGCGTTGGCTTGTCCGCAACTTCACCGCGCCGGACGGGCTTCAGATGGAAGAAGTGCCCATGCCAGAGCTCGGTCCCAACCACGTCCTCGTCAAGCGTACGTCCCACACGCCGACCCAACCTTGGTATATATGAGAAGTAAGGAGTGAAAGAGAGAAAAGAGGAAAAGAGAGAAAAGAGGAAAAGAGAGAAAAGAGAGAAAAGAGGAAAAGAGAAAAAAGAGGAAAAGAGAGGAAGGATGAAAAAGAGAAAGGGAGAAAGAGAAAAGGGAAATAGGGAAAGAAAGAAAGAAAAAAAGACAGAAAGAAGGAAACGAGAGCCCCCACAAAAGCAGAACGCAAACAACAAAAATCGAAAAGAGGAAACCCCTCCCGGGCCATCTCACCAATTCACTTATTTATGCCGCCACCCTCAACCACCCCAACCTCCTCATCGCGCGCGCGGCGACCACCACCACCACCACCCCCGGCCCCGGTCCCTCTCCGCACCCACCCATCCACCCACCCATCCACCCACCCACCGTCCGTGTCCGTCCCCTGCTTCGACGCCGCCGGCACCGGCACCGGCACCGGCACCGTCGCCGCACGCGCGCCATCGGCTCGCACACGCCGTCGATATCGTCGACGTCCGTACCGCCGCACGAGCTGTACCGCCAGACACCGCACTCCTTCTCCCCCCGTCGACCCCCGCGCGAAAAGGGGCACTTGGACCGCATGTGTGTGCTGGATTGGACGCGGGCCGGGCCAGCAGGCCGGTCCCATATGCCGGGGACGTTTGACGTTTGGACGAGGGGGGAGGGCGTGGGCGTGTTCGACGTACGCGAGGGACCTGGTCGGGTTGGTGCTTGATGCTTGGGAACGTTCGGACATGGTGGAAGGGGGAGTGCGTTGGGCCGTGCGGGGGTGGGCTGGACGGCGTGGGATGCGCTTTTTGGGGGGGGGGGGGGGGGGGGGGGGGG